ACTGCTGGGAAAACGTCAAATATCACAAAATGTTTACATTTATTGACTGCACCTCCCATGCATGCTACATGCCTCACACATCTCCCAAAAAACTGTACGCTCTTTAAAATTTCATTAATTGTTTATAGTTTGCAGATTACAACATCGTCACATAATTCAAACCCATAAGTATAGCGCTTGGTTATCTTCTTCTTCTATGGCTGTTAGGTCCGTCTGTCCGAGGCTTTGATTGAAGTTTCGAAACATCTTCCTTTTTACGGTGCAAGGTTGTTTGCCTTGCGACCAACCCCCAACCTGGAGGACCGGCGCTTGGTTATCCTTATCCTCATTTCATTATTACACAGAAGTTTGAACTGAAAAACCTGATAAATTGTGAAGCTTTTTCACAGAACATCGATGTACAATGTGTTTACTGATAAAGTTAAACACATCTGTCACTTCCCGGCTCCCAATTGGAACTGCGTGACCCATCACCTACCAAGGGTTACAAAGTTCTCCTAATGTGAGTCAAATGTCGCTCCACAAAAACAATAAAATGAACTTGACCAGTATTATAGCAGTTCCTGTTGGGAGCTGGGAAGTGACACTTGCGTTCAACTTTATCGGTGAATGCACCGTATTATAACAAATAATATGTGAATTTTGGGCAGTAGTAATTTTTTGCGGTTGAATCGAAACGTAACTGACATTTGATGATGAAGAAACAAAAGAGGATTCTACAAACTAACATCTGCTGTAATATTCTAAGATTTCTTGGTTGTTAATTTGTGCCAAAACTGACTGGTTTAATTTTATACCAAGAGACCATGATGGAGTGGAGTCTAGTACAGTGCCTGTTTCTAGAAATGCTACATCAACATGAACATTAATGTTGTGAAGGTTAAGCAAACTCATGCATATTTGCTTTGCATCTGTCATGTCCCAGGCAGAGATGATGCTGTTTACGGTATAAAGCATACACGTGCATAGTTGCTAAGAATTATCATCGTTCTTGAAAGTATAATGAAAATTGTAATGTTGACAAAATGAGTTGGAGATACATGCAACAGTTTATGTGAACATTTTAATTTTGAGATGCAGACTGTGCTTTGTCTTGACCTCATAGTGAAATGTAATTTTTATTTGTGTTGAACTTGGACTATTGTTACAGATTAAAATTAGTTGATGGAAACCCTTTTAGTTTTTACAGAAATATTCATGTGCTTACTGTAAAATAGTTCAGGTGATTTGATGTTTGTAGTAAAAGATTGTAATAATATTAAAAAAAGAAGAAATTGTTGCTACAATAAAGCAACTCTCTCAAATATGAAATGTATCACGTTAATTTTTAGTATTCAGATGGTGTTATCATGTGATTTGCTTACATTTTTGTTAATGAAAAATCTTTTGACATACAGGTACTTGATTACCTAATTAGTATTGGGATGTTTGAAAATGCAGTACATTTAGCACTGGCACCAAACCACTACACCAAGAGCTACAATGTCTGTATACAAATCAAGTATCGCTCCATAAGAACGAAATCAACTTACCTTTATTATAGTAATTCCTGCTTGAAGCCAGGAAGTGACATTAGTGTTCAGCTCTATTAGTGAATACGACTTTTCTCTAAACATGTTCATTATTATTAGTGTTCTGTCTGACGACAGGTCCATATGAACAGGATCCTTCCATCCTTTTCTCGGACTGGGACCTGTTCATATACGTTCTTGGCAGATGATCCAGAAGTGATTTGCCATTGCCTTCTTCTGTGTGTAAATGGAGTAATTGTTGGGATGCCACAGAGGAACCCGAGACCCCAGGATTACAAGGCCAGCGTTCTAACCGCTAGACCACCGTGGCGGACAAACATGTTCATACCACTAATTATTTAGATTGTTTCTGATATCCTTGTTTTCAGATTTCTGTGTTTTACTGTTTATTTACTTATATCCCACAAAGATTTCATCCAAACTCATTGCCTTATTTGGAACCCCAAGCTTCATTATTATGGTTCGTAAGGGACTGCACATGGATCTTGTCCTTGAGCCAATAAACTTAAAAACATGTCACAGCATCCCATAGAATGCACTTTTGTTAATAAATGCTGCTATGTGAACCTTAAATCTAAACCAGTAAGATTATATTTACTGTAATCCTCCCACCTGTGCCTAGGACCTATTTCCTGACCAAAATCTTGTATGAATTTCTTGTCTCTTCCATAATTCTACCCCAAGTTCTTTTATTAAAGGTTAATTACTGTTCTTAGGTTTTCTGCCAATCAACACCATAAATAACTTTTATAATTTTATTTCACCAAACTGTTGAACTATATAAATTACAGACACTTGCACATTATTAAGCACGTAAGTATTACAAATTTACACAGACGGATCACTCACAGATTTTGAAAATGCACATTTTCAAGTTTTCTTATTAATGAATTACCAAATACAATCTTGAATGAAAGGCTAACATGATTCAGTAATGCATATGGGGTTTCAAAGTGTCTATTAGAGGGTTCAGTTTTATTATCGTAG